AAATAAGCAAACAATGCTTTGTTTTTTTTTCTTGAAAAAGAATTGTAACATATGCTTACAAATCACCAAAATTAATCTTTTCAGAATCCCATTATTCCTCTAAATCATCTCTAGCATAAAACTAAAACAGAGAGATCAGAAGAATGAAAATGAGAGGTGTTTCTGCTCCGGATTTCTACACATCTGTCTTTTGAGGCACAGCGACCACACCTGGCTGCGTGTGCTACAGCTCATCAGATACGTAGGATCACATCCTTTCAATTGGCCCCTTAACAACAAGCACTGACTCAATGTAAATATGAAGCGTTTCTGGTAGGGAATAATGACATTTAAACAGAATTTAACAAGTTCTTGAAACAAATGTTGAAGTGTTTGAACTACCAAAGCTAAAGGTTATTGTGGGAATGAGAGTCAGCCACCACAAAATCAGCTACAACACCTGGGTTGGGTATAGAAAGATCACAGAAAGAGGGAAGAGGTTGAGCAACTGCACTCCAAGTTGCCTTTTATCTTCTGTAATGGCAGGGTGCCTTGGGCATTTTTTCCTCCTGTGAATTGCCCTACCCTTTGCGTATGCCACATCAGACCAGCAAGGAGCAGTCTCCCTGGTCAAAAGGTCATAAACCCTTCTGCCAGACTTCATTACTTCACAAGCTTTCAGGCAGCACCTTTTCATGGTTGCTTTGCTCCCCCATTTCCATCATTTCTCTTAGGGCAATCACCTTGTGACCCGAAGAATTAATTCACACATCTATTCAGATCTGGGCTTCCCCAAGTGTTAGATTCAGTCTTAAATACTGGCCCCATGCTGCAGGAGTGAATAAATCATATGAAATCAAAAGTAGAGAATGGAAACAGCCTTCTAGAACATTCTAATGCCCCTTAATGATTCTTTGTAAATGAATCTTCCATGTATGCACTTTTCTTCTTCTTTTTAAAAATCTTTTTTCTCTATTTCACTTGGAATATGAATTCTTCAAACATCAGAAGCACTAACTCAGTGTTGGTTTCTTAAAAACAGTTGTTCAGCAGCGGAGCCCTTTAACAGCTCTGAAAGAAGGTTAATGCACATCTGTAGGTACTACAAACAACATAAGCTGGGGGGTAAAGTATAATGTGGGGCAAATCGCAGCAAGTGGTCTCACCTCTTAGAAGTGGTCTTCATCTCAGAAGAGCAGGATTAGTAACATTTGTTTCTCTGGGTGTTGCAAGCATTAAACAATATAAAACATGTAAGAAGTCTGGATAATGTTTAACATGTAACAGCTTCCCTTGCAGCCAGCCTTCTTCAGAATTTCTTCGCTTGATCACTGTCATTTGTGCTCCTCTCATTAAAAGTGCTCTTCTAGTTTCAAAAAGGTTCTTGCCAATTCATCAAATGGGTATTATAACCACTAACTATCTGCCTTAATATTTTGAGGACATAATTACAGTATTTATCTTTCACATACAGTACATATATTCAACATGTCTTATTATGGTCACAGAAATGTTCCCATTGAATCATACCTACTTCTGAAAGAAAAAACCACATTTTCTCTCTCTCCTTCCTTCACCAGCCCCCCTTTCTCTGTCGATGCAGCGAGGCTGGTTTAACAGTTTAAGGCTAACTTTCAACTGTACAATAATGCTCTTAAAGCTTAAGACTAAGATCTGTGATTCTAATATGGGCAGTTCTTGAGTTTTAACTCCCAAATAATGCTATTACATGAGTGTCTTTACATAGAACCTTTGTGATCTTTTTAAAAGGAAAAAAAATTGCATAAAAATTTGCATTCCTCATTCCTTTCCTCCCAGGTCTTGTGAAAGGCAATTTTACTTTCCTTCTGTGCCTGTAACACTAAGGAGAAGTAAAGCTAGAAGCCTAAAATATGGGCAAGAACTGAGATATGCATGAGACATTGCCAGAAATGGGTATTCATCACAAAGCTATGACATTCGGGTGAGAATTCTATGGCATGCACCAAATCCAAAGGTCAAAACCCTTCTAGAAAATCACGTGCTCTCTAAACTTCTTAGACACCATGTTCTCTGTGAGTGTTCACCATTGCTTTTCTCTGCTTTCACTGGGATTCTGCTTCAATATATTTAGCACATGTTGTATAAAATCAATATTTCAATATAGTCCATGAAGTCTTTTTCAAATCAAATTGGTAACATTCCCTCCAAATTAGGGTGAAGAAATAGGATATTTCTTTAGGCTTTCTATGTTCATTTTAATGTTTATATCATATATTGCTACAGCCCACATCAAACTCAATTTTAGAAATCATCAAGGTTATTTGGTGAAAGATACCAAAGATGAATTATATGAATTATGTCCATGACTATGCCACTGGATTGCAGAATAAGGGTGTTTCTGTGATCAAAGTTTTTAGCCTACAAAATCATACTTTTTAAAAAGCTAACAGCTGTTATTATCTAACACGTAGGTGATTATTAATAAGAGGGTATACTAGCCTGTGATTTTTAACACATTTTTCCTGAGTAGGAAAAACCTGTTATCTACTTCTTCCCTGTGGCTTTAAGCCTTCAAGGCAACCTCCATACTTCACTGTCAAATAAAAAATAAAAATAAAAGACTCCAGCTCCCTTATGTTAATCACAGTCTCAAGTCTGAAGTGTATCCCCAATTCTGAACACCACTCCAAGCATCATGGACTGAATTGTGCCCCCTACCACTACCGGGTATGTTGAAATTCTAATCCTATGGTACCTCAGAATGGAACCTTACTTAGTAATGAGATTGTTGCAGCTTTAATTTGCTAAATTAAGATATACTGCAGTCGGGTGGGTCCTATGTGACTGGTGTCCTTATAATAAGCAAAGAAGATGAGACACAGACACAGAGGGAAGACAGCCATGTAACAGTGGAAGTAGAGACTCTCGTTACATGGTGGAAAACCACGGATTATCAGAAGCTACCAAAAGTGGGAAGAGGCGAGGAACGATTCTTCGCTAAAGGTTTCAGAGGGAGCATGGCCCTGTCAGTATCTTGATATTGAACTTCTCATCTCAAGAACTGTAAGATAGTAAGTTTCTGGTGTTTTAAGCCACTCGGTTTGTGCTGCTTTGTTTTGGCAGCCCCAGCAAAACACACACATGTGGTTTTACGAGTTCTCTAGGCTTTCTGCTTTTGACTTGGGACTCACGTCTCCAATTATCATTTGTCCAATCCTTAGACTTAAAACTGAACTGATTTTTCAGGCCTTATGTTTTCATTAGCTTTCTTAATTAATAATCATCCTCCAATATTCCCTGAACCAGAGGTGTAGGGGCTGTCAGCCCACACTGTTTGAAGAAGCCTACTGTTACATATTTAGGAATTTTGCAAGCTGATTGCTAAGCACAGTTATTATCCTTAAAATTAAATTGTATAAACTTTATATTAGGTAAGCTATACTAAAACAAAAGTAAATCATCAAAATTCACTACTGCTTAATTTTATTTACTATATTTTACTATAATCTGTACTCTTGAGGTTATTTATGTTTAATATATCTATATGATGAAAATACTATAATACTATTATTTATCATTTCCCAACTCATGATGGAAACTTTAAATCAGCCACGTGGAAATATTTACAACATGAATATTGTCAAAAGCTACAAATCAGTTTTCAGAGAGCTAGCTGTAAACATTTACGGGCATGTCACTGAAATAACCTATAAGTCTATTCCATAAGCCAAACTGCAGTGGATACAGAGGAATAGAAAGGTTATCTTCACTGAAGAGACCGCTATTCTAGACCCAGCTTCGCACTTTCCAGTAGGAATTCTGAGCTCAGGAAAGTGAGTAAAAGCAAATAAAAGACTTTATTACAAATAATAAAGAAAGATTGATGGGGATCAGGCAGACTTAGATGCTGATGACCTACTTTTAGTATTGTCTACTAAACTTGCCTGGGAAGTGTTTAGCACTGATTATAAATATTAATTAGATACCAATCAGAGTACTAGTTAAAGGATCATTAGAAAGGCACATTTCAGATAAAAAGATAGGTAGATACAGAGATACAGCAGTATATATGGCATACACATGTATAAGTAGCTCAAGCTGGTAATATATTAGATGATTTTACTTAGTAAAACAGACCCAACCCAGCTAGAAAAAGACAGGTGAATTAAATGACTCTATAAACAGGCAGGGTAAAATCTTCATAGTTTTAGCAGATACATAATTCCAGTGTGTATATGGATAGGAGCAATATCTCGTTTTGCTATGATATTTACCTTGTTAAGCATATCATCAGCAGAACAAAAATTGTTTACAGGACTGACACCTCTACACATTTAAAACAAAGATTCAAAAACCTGATACCCATTAAATAGTTATGTCCTAACATTCTTAAGGGTTATTTGAGGCTGAAACTGCCTAATACTAGTCTGCACTGTGGAGTGTAGTCGCAGGTTAGGGACCCTGCCCTAGGCCTTGAACTCTGTGCCAGCAAGAGCTGGGAACGCTGCAGACTTTCAGTCGGTGCCAGAGAGAAGGTGGAAGGCCTTTTTTCTTTTAACCACAACGCCAGCAGCAGATTAAGGCGTGGCATTACTCATACCACACAAAGTCTCGCTGAGGCTACCTTTGCTGAAAGCACAGTGTCTCATACCAGGAAGTGTTCTCAGTGTGGAATGTGTGAAGTGCACATCACATCACCCTGTTTTTGTGACTGAGGCACTCTTTGAAGATCTGTCATTTATGTCCAACAGTGTTCCTACTGAACAAGCCACTAAGCATTTTTTTTTCATAATAAATAAGAGGCTCTCTTTCCTTCTCTGTGAACATAATCCAGTGGGGAAGAAACTCAGTTTCTTAAAGTTCTGCATAGTTTAACATACATTCTTAGATTCTAAAAAAAAAAAAAAAAACTCAAAAATGATCCAGCTCATACATAAGGCAGTCAGAAAAGAAAGCATATAATAAAGCAGCCTGGATCTAAAGAACTGTATCACAAACACAAATAATATAAGACCTATTTTTATAAATTTATTTTTCAATATGTTGAGGAAACACCTGAGTTTAGGTTGTTGCTAGCCGATGCTATTAACTAAAGATACAAGTGATGGCAGGAGATAGATGAGGAAGCAGTGAGGAGAGAGTATTAGAGTGACGGCCAGGAAGTGAGAAAAATGTTGCTCTTCAGAGTTTTCCTGATTTCTTTCTCAGTTCTCCTCCGAGGCCCTCTTCTTCTTGTTTAATTACCTCACTCCCACCCCAGGCCCCTATCCTAGACCCATTACTTCAAATTCTTATCAATCAATTCTTCAAAATCAAATCAACATATGTTGTTAACATATAAGGTTAACAGCAATTTGTTAAACCAATCAGATATTTTTTTTATCGTAAAATAATCTTGAAAAGAAACAAAAAATATTTTCAAGAGCCAAAGGTAGAAAGACCCTTATTTTTTTAAACATTTTGGGTAAGAAAAGTCACAGTTCAGACCACATAAAGCAATGATGACAGGGTTAACAAAATCTATGAGAAGCCTAAAAGAGTTCTGTGACTCTAATATGTCTTCAAAATTAGAACTTTGGCATTAAAAATATCTCTATTTAAAACTAAAATGTCATAAAGCATTAAGCTGAGAAATTTTGAAAGGCTTAATGTAATAAGCTTTCTTTAAAAGTTCACATTTGTTTTATATTGCACCAACACAAAGTATTATTTCACATATAAGTCATACTTTTACTTTCAAAGTTTATTCTGCAGACATTTAAAACTCAAAGAAAAATTTTATATTTTTGAGTTACCTTTGGTATCATATACTAATTTTACTGTCCATGCCTCACAACAAAGATGTTCCTTTTTTGTATGGTTACATTGATGAAAACTTGACAATACACTTTTTTTATTGACCAAGTTCTCTCCTGATATTGCATTTGTAAGCTACTCTTCTCAGTCAGCCCTATGCTGAACTTACTAAGGGTTTTATAAAAAACAAAAACAAAACAAAAAAAACCTGTTCTTGACTAAAACATAAGCCTCCCATAATTACATGTCATAGTGCAATTCTTATCCATTGAGCTTGTGGTTTTCCAATTTTAGGACAAAGCATGTGTTATCAGTGACTTGCAATTTAGTTTTGTTATCCCTTGATTCCATAAATGTTTATTCTAACTGTAAAGTAGGCCCCTTAATTTACAACTATTTTTCTTCATTTCTTTTTCAGAGTAAGAAATAACATACACATTTCTGGCATGTTGATAAGAGAATTTCAGCAATTTTCTCCCTGACATGAAATATTTCATTCTGAAGGCCTGTATTTCCTACCCTTAGATTTCTTAGATGAGGCTATACTAAAATCAAACTCTGAGAGGGATCCACTTTTGTGGTTCCAAGTATGAAACCTGAGTGATGTCTCTGGAAATAGCAAGGACTAAGAACACAAACACTTATTTGTCCCCAAAATAGAGGGACTCACATTTTGAAATATTCCAGTGGAACCCCAAAATTAGAGTTTACTAGATTGAAAACATCTTCTACTTGAAGGTTACTAACACAAACTCAATGTTGAATCAAACCATAATTCATGTAGCTCAGAGTACTAGGTGAAGTATCTAGCCAACAGATTGCATGCTTTGAGTTTCTTCTAAATAATTGAAAATATAAATTGTCAAAGAAGACAGCCTTTTCACTAATTATGCTCAGTATTTCTTCCTCTGTTATTAAAGGAAAACTTTCCCTCTTAAAATTGCCCCTATCTCGGTAGTCATAAAGTATTCGGGCCACTTAATTCATCACTTCTTCTCATGGTGACATATTGTAACATTTGGTAAGGAAATTAAGTTTCATTGTACATTCTCACTGAACTTTTGGTGAAAGAGTTTCATTCTTTTTATTAATATTAAATCATTAGTAAAGCCTTCTAAAGCTAGATTTGGAAGGCCTCATAGGAAGATGGAAGGAGGCGTAGGAAATGACACTCTGCTGATAGTCATATAGTCATTCTTCTGCCTCTATTTTTTCTTAACTGTTTTAAAGGTGGTAGCTACCCCCAAATCTAATACCTGTATGAAGCACTCCCAACTACAGCAGGACGCTGAGGCTGCTACTAGCAGAAGGGTTGGGAAAATTTGAGTTGCTCTTCTTGCCTGTGATATACGGTACAAGGGTTGGCCCTGGTTTGGTCCACCTGCCAGCGGAGTTTAAAGTTTCTGAGGCTGGGACGAACACAATGACTTGGATCAAACTGCCTAAATGGGAAGAAGGGTATTTCTGCTGCATCAAGGAAGCCGTTAAACTCCTGCTAGACTAAGCATCTCCACCACCGACCTCCGCTATCACTGACTAGAGATTATTTCTGACAATCCAGGATATTTCGAAAGCTTGGAGACACATGGCTGGAAAGTGAAACGAACATGGAGTGTGGCCACATCATTTTGTGTCGCGAGGTACCAGATGGGCAGTCAGTGAATGGTTCAGTGATGTAAAGGGACAGTTTTATAATGTGAATTTTCCCCCCATAAAGCTAAAACAGACTTCATTTCCCTCTATTTCCTTTTGGTCTATAGCTTGCATTTTCTCCCCGCTCTGCAATATCAATTAACTCAACTTTGCAGTGGGGTAGCCAAAAAGGAAGAGGACCTTAGTAAGTGTCGGAGGAGCTGCAGTGCCCAGGAAACCGCGGCTGCGACCCGCCGCGTCCTGTGCGGATCTCAGGGTTGACAGAGCGCCGGCGGTTATGGAGCCGACGGTGCCCGCGGGCTGCCGTTAGAGACCCAGGAGTCGGGAGCGGTCCGCTCCTCTCGCGGCAGCCTTGGAGGCCGCTGCCCGCTCTGATCCAAGGCGTTTCATCACCATTATCCTAATTACTGGGAAGTCATGGAAGACGGCCCGCTGCCAGATCTCAGAGACATCGAGCTGAAGCTGGGGCGCAAAGTACCGGAGAGCTTAATGCGCTCGCTCCGCGGGGAGGAGCCGGCGCCCCAGGAGAGGGACCGGGACCCTGGCGGGGGGAGCAGCGGCGGCTGCAGTTCTGACAACAGCAGCTGCAGCTTCCCTCCCTCCCTGTCGTCCTCGTCTTCGTCCAGCCCGACCTCCGGCTCCCCGCGACGACGCCACTGCAGCGCCCTGGAGAGGTTAGACACCAAACTCCACATTCTCAGGCAAGAGATGGTGAGTGTGGGGCGGCAGCGGTGGGAGTGGGGGCCCGAGTCGAAAGGCGGCGATCGGAGGTGGGGCGGGGGAGCGGCGAGGGGGGCCGGCAGAGCCGGGGGCTGCGCGCGTGGGAGCTGCGGGGTAGCGAAGCGCGCAGGGGCGGGCGTCCGGAGGCTAGGGCGGCCGCTGCGGGGCTTGTTTACCCCGGACTTCGCTCGGTCAAGGTCGGCTGCAACCGCAGAGCCTGCTCTGCTCTGTGTACTTTCTGATAGTGCCGACTCGGTACCCCGGACTCTGATCGCTTCGCTGCCAATCCGCAGCCTCCCGGACAGCAGCCGGCTGAGCATTTGCGGTTACTGGACACACCTGGGGCCTGCTTCTGCGCCGTTCACACTTTAGGTTCAAAAGGTGGCTCATCCTTTGCACTTACTGCAAAAATACTTCCTCATTTGTGGAGAGGAGGCGAGGCGGAGTCCCTGCACGGCTCCTTCCTTGCTCACTCCGCCTCCACCACCACCCTCCCCACCCCTTGGTGCAGCTGCAGCTGTTCCAAGGCCACTGCCGAACTGATTCTCCACAGCTGGTTCTCAAAACAATGGCCCCCTCGTCCTTGTTGTCCTTATGAATAGCTCGTTTCACTGTTTTGATCCTAGCAGCAGGTAATCTCCAGGCCCTGGGATTTGCTAATGACCACTTCCTACACTTCCCCCTTCACCCTCAACCTGCTGTTGTTTTCGTTGCTGTTTGCCAACGTTAGCCTAAGAATAGGACGGTGAGACTAGTACAGAGTCTGAGAATACTTGTTATTCGAATGAATTTAGAAAGAAACCCTTAACTTGCCAGGAGCTCTTGGGCAAGTCACTTCTCCCCTGCGGCCCTCAGTTTATTTGTACAGTGAATGGTTCCTTTCTCACTCCTTGAAGAATGACCACAAAGCAACAGCACTGTCTCTCAGGATGGAGAGGGGAACGGTACAACGGCAGGTCTCGGACACCAGAGAATAAGGAAGATCTCCTATATAAATGACCCTGTCGAGGGCTTTGCATGAAAAAGAAGGAACCGGAAGTATCTCCCTAGCTTTTTTTTTTAGCGTTTGGAAACCTTGGAAGGGAATAAATTCCACAGCATAAAGTAATCTTGGCAAATATGTAGACGTAAAAAGCCAGCCTTCAGAGTTTATGTGTTCAGAGAACAAGTGTTTATTAAGCACACTACATACCCTTATAATTAACTGGATTCTGAAACTACAAAATTAAAAAGTCAAGGAACCTGTCTATTTAAGACTGTCAATGTCTTGCACTTACTTGCCATTTATTATTTGTAGTAAATCAAGCCAAATGTGTTGAGGAATTCTATAGGGGGAAAAAAAACCTGGTTATTTTTAACTAGACACTTTCTAGCATTATCTATTTTTCCCTAGTGAAAATGTCATAGAGTTAATAAAAATCTGTTTTCCCACCCTGATCTTGCTGTTAGGGTATTTACATATATTTTTAAAAAATCAAACAGAAACAGCTACAAAAGCTGTGACAGGCTGCTACACTGACTATTTGTTTTATTTTCTATGTGAGACATCAATTATCTATGGACCTAGGAGAATTTATGCTAGAACAGATGTGTTGCATTCAACTTTGTACTCTAATAAAGGTCTCCACTGAGCAAATGATGACACTGGCAATGTTTAAAGGGAAGGGATTGAGAACAGGTATATTCACTGCCAATAAGACCATTGTCCCTCCATTTTACATAACTCTTGTGGGAGCTAAAAACCCCAGCTTCAGCACAATTGCAAAGAAACAGATTTGTTTGTATGTAGATTTGGCAGTTTTGTTATAAACACCAAGCAGATGCAGTTCTGCAGTCTTCCTGTCTCCTCCTAGCATCCCCATGTGGAGATGTGAGGGAGCTAGAGCTGGAATATGACCTCTTAATCTGGTTGTTATATTCTTTCTGCACTCAATGTTTATTAACCTCCTTGTATTAATACATAACCTCACATTTCACACTTCTTACTTTTAGTTGTTCACAGATTTTTCTTCAGGGTCATCTGGAATTGCTAGGCTTTTGGGCCTGACCTCAGAATCCTTTCCTTGGTAACATACCTTATCCCTGTATGTAGAGGCCTTCCTAGAAATTCCCAGGAATTAAGTCTACCTTCTATTCCTTTTAGAATGGATGTGTACCATTGACATAATGTAGCAAAAACTTGCAGGAAAGCAGTCTCAACACAGAGTTCTGTATATATACATGGTTTTATCATTGTCTCTCTCATTTCCTTTTATGCATTCATGTATAATTTTCCCTCTTATTTGTAATGCTATAAACAATGCTCTTCGAAGATTGTGAGACACAGCAATTAAGAAGCCAAGCTGAAAGAGATTGGGATGGGAGAAACTTTCTGTAGCCACATTTCTTAATGCTGAAACCCTTATTAACAACATAAAGAGCACCATACATAATAAGGAGTGTGGGAGGGAAAATACTGGAAAAGAAAGTTTGCAGCCATATATTTGGTAAGTCAGTTCAAGGTAACCATCAGAATGTTATGGGGAGGGGGCCATTTTCTCAATATGTGAAGTAATTTTATTTTGAATATAGAGATAGGGAAATCTGACAATACGATAGGCAAACAGAGATATACATAGCAAATTATTGGAAATAAATGTCAGGCCTCTCATACAAAGTTTGCCCAATAACAATTTTTCACAATTTTCAGTTCACAGAGTGTTTTAGTATCTGTCATTTGAGCCTAAGGTCATACTGGTAAAGAGGACGTATTTTCATCCGCATTTTGTGAATGAGATCACTGTAGTTTAGGGATAGCTGAGAAAGCAGCAAGGTCACACTAATTAGCAGGGTCACCCAGCTAATTAGTGAACAAAATCACAACTTGAACTCGTATCATCTGACCATGTACTGTGCTTTTCCCCCATGCCACTCTGCATCCTAATACTAATTTATAAAAAACAATATAGTTTTTATAAATCAGTAATATCTCAAAACCCCCTAGAGTTCTAAGTGACCAACAAAAAGAAGCCCTCAGGTTGCATGTCACAGGATGTTTCAGATATAGGCTCATTCAATAATTTACCAAGTGCCTACTAGGTGCGAGGCCTTGGCAGTATATGACAAATAAAAAAATCAGTCTTCAGAGGTTCTGCACTATTTCTGTAGTTTATATCCCACCACCCACCGTCTGTGCAAAGATTCGTTTTTGCAAAATTTTCTTAAGAATGGGACTTTAAAGCATTACTAATCAAATATTAGTCTAAGTTTAAATGTCTCATTATATGCAAAATCTTTTTCCAATAAATGTAAATAATCTTTCAAAACCTGTGTTTTACCACTTCATGATATGCTTTATATTGCACTTTTCTTTTACAAGGTGTTCAAAAGGTTTTAGTGCTTTATCTTAATGAGTCCACATCATATGTCTAGTTTAAGACTGAAAATTATTTTCATCAGTTTACTCTGGAAGAAGTTTGAAATGGATGAGATTATAAAGGCAACCACTGAAGAATCAGAACCTAGAATTAGGAGAGGTCTAATGCAGCCTCCCAAGTTTGCTTTCCTAGATACTGTTCAGAAAATCAAAGTATAGTTTGAAATGAAGTATATATTACCTGTTGATGCCATATTCTGGTTCTAGTCAATTCTGTATTATGTTGAGATGCCTACCAATCTTTAGATGATAGTGACATTATGAAAATTGATATGAAAATACTGTGTCCTGATTTCCATATTTTGGCAATTATTTGCATAGCAGCTGTGGAGTAGTGTTTAATAGGATAAACAATCTCAAGCTAGTTACTCATCTTTTCTTACTATTAAAGCTTTCAAACACCACACCCAGTTCCTCAACTATTGCTTTAATAGTTTTCTAGGCAATACCCAGGACTGGATACAAACACACATACATACAAATACATAAATGACACTAGAGCAACATAAATCAAAATGTCAAAATGTTTAAGAGTAGATTTATACTTATTGATACTGCCTCTTGTTGACTTTTCTGTGTTTTACTGTTCTATTATTCTCTTTTTTTATAGTTGAACAAACAGTTAAGGAAATCCCTTATTATACAATTCTAAAAGAGAAGGTGCCTTCCTTGATGAGTTTCACAAGATAGCTGAAGAGATATAATGGAAATATAATTTGGCCAGAGGAAGATGACAAACTATTCTGTCAGCAGGTGCATGATGCCATATGGGAGATCAGACCTAAGTGTTGAGACTATAGATAAAGCCGAAGAGATTTTTCACAGTAATTGTGCCTTGTACAAGGAATTAAAAATGTTGATAACTATGCAAATTAAGGGCTCAATATTAGGACTAAAGACAACAAGGAGATGGGGAAATCTAATTCCTAACAGTGGCTTCTTGTATCATTCTGCACACAGAATGTTGTTACACTTACTAAATCTAATAAACAAATCTTGTTGAAACATGTTTCTTACACAGTGGTTCAAAAATGGACAGCATACTCAAAAGCAGTAATAACATTTGCTAGAAACAAAGTTTAGAAGACTTATTCATAACTTAAAAACAGTGACATTTCCAGAAATGGATAAGCCTTGTCCTATAGATAGGAATGTCTGTTGAATTATTGGTACATACCTGAACACTTGACAAAAAAGAATCACCTTCCATTTCACTCAAGCTGCACAATTATACTGCCTTGATCTTGAGAAACCACGAATTGTGTGAGAATTTTTTAAATGATTATGTTCACTTCCATGGTAGCACTAAAATATATACATTTACCCCCCATTGTGTAATGATAAGTTACAATTAATTTTTCACATATAGGACTTTAGTTTTTAGAGATACTATTTCTGAAACTGGGATTCATGGTTGCAGTCCCTGAGGTCCCCGAGAATGTTATTTATTTATTTGTTTTTAAGGATGCTCCTTTCTGTTTTTCTTTTAAGGTTGTTCATTCACTACTCAAATGGTGACCTTCTGGTGTAGTGGAAACTTCAAAGGCTTTGGAGCTAGACAAGCTGGGATTCCAGT